CTGGGGAGAGGGAGGTCTGGGCCTCCCTTCTGAAGCTGCTGCCCCCGCGACCCAACCCCGGATAGGCGGTAGAAAATGGATGGATGGATGGATGGATGGATGGATGGATAATCCCAATAATCTGATAATTATTATTATTATTATTATTATTATTATTTATAACTACATGTTCTTACCATGTAACAGTTTGACAATAAACTGAGTCAGAAATAAACAGATTAGAAGAATAAAATCTGATCTATCTTCAGTGAGAATTAAACAGATATTGTTTATAGAAATGTGCAAAAGTCCTGATCAGTCTTAATGTTTTCATTCCAACGATCCAATGGTTCCTATAATCCTTTAATCTGGTCTGGATCAACGGGTCGGACCGTTGCTGCTCCTCTGACTTCCTGTTACAAACTGTAGCTTCATCATGTTCAGACAGAACCGTCGCTCCTGCTTCAGTCACAGGTTTTACCGTGCGCCCGTCCTCCCTGGTTGTTCCGGTTCCTCCTCCTCAGTCTCGGTGTCGGCCCAGGGCTGGATCCTCCCGCTGCCGAACACGGTGTAGAAGATGGCGCCGCCCACGTTGATCCCCGCGGCCACCCAGAACACTTTCCTCCAGCCCTGCAGCGAGCGCTGCCCACCACAGAAGAAGAGACACGGACATTTAAGCATCAGTTCAGGACGTTTCTAATAAAAGCAGAATAACTTCTGTGCGAGACTCACGTCTTCGGTAAAATATCCCGTCACGATGGGAGCCATGATCCCGGGGATCGTCCCGAACGTGTTGGTGATTCCCAGCAGGAATCCTGCGTACCTGCAGAGAAAAACACCAAGAAAATCACACAAACATACAACTAAATTAGACATGCTGCTTTAAAAACGTAGATTAAAACTAACAGGAAATACTTATTTATTGTGAAGCACCTGGTGATTTTCATTTCTCACAGTTAAACTCATCTATGAATCCATAAAGTGCATTACTTCTTATTTATTACTAACCTTATGACCATTTGGAGCCTAGAAATGAGAAAAAAAGCTGCAACTTTACTGATTTCCACCAGCAGGGGGCAGACGTGTACCACTCAGATTTCTATTGTTTTAGAGTTACCTCTAACTTGTTATAGATCACTTTTATTATTTAAAAACACACTTTCAGCAACATTCAGACAATAAACAGGTTTTATACATTTTATATTATTTTTATTTCTGTTTTATTTTGTTATTTGCTGCTCATATATTTTAACTGCTGAGAAACTGAAATTAAAAAATATACATATTTTTTACTTTAACAGTTAAAGTACCGGCTAAAATAAACGAGGTCAAAGCTCTGGAACCTAAAAACCCACCGAGGGGCGATGTCTATCTGGTTGATGAAGACTCCGGCGGAGCTGGTCCCGACTAAACTGTTGCAGAGGGTGAGGAAGGTGACGATGAGGACGTGGCCGCAGCCGACGTAGCTGACGGGAACGAGGAACACCGCCGGCAGCAGCAGGCCTGCGGCGCGACCAGAGTTAAAGCAGAAACATGAACACAGCTTTAAGATAAAACACAGCAAGAACACAAAGAGCTGAATATCTGAGCTGAATGTAGCAAAATGCTACCAGTAGCAAAAGGCTAATAAAACAAACAACAAAACATTAGCTGAAAGTAAAAATAATTTAAAGTTTCCAAATAATAGCTAAAAATAGCAAAACTTTTGAAACATCCAAAATTAGCTAAAAACTAGTTAAACATAAGGAAACTAAAACCAGTCAAAATCTAAAAGTAGCAAATAACAAGCTAAATGCTAAATATACTAAAACACTAGCTAAACTTGACAAAACTTTAGTATCTTACTAACTTTAGCATTAGTAGATTCGACAGTAGTAGAGCTAGCTTTAACTAAATTAGCATTAGCAGCAGTATTAGCACTGATAGCTTAATTAGCATTAGCTGTAGTAGCACTTGCAGTAGCTTACTTTGTATTAGCAGTAGTAGCACTAGCAATAACTAAATTAGCTTTAGCAGTAGTAGCAATAGTAATGGCAGTAGATAATTTAGAACTAGCATTATTAGCACCAGCAGTAGCTACATTAGTATTCGCGCATTAGCAGTAGATGAATTAGCATTAGCAACAGTAACACTAGAAGTAGCAAAATTAGCAATACCACATAAACACTAGCATTTGCTAAATCAGCATTAGCAGTAGCTGAATTAGCATTAGCAGCGGTAATACTAGCTGTAACTAAATTAGCATTAGCAGCAGTATTAGCACTGACAGCTTAATTAGCTGTAATAAGCTATAGTAGCACTTGCAGTAGCTTATTAGCATTAGCAGTAGTTGCCCTAGCTGTAGTTAAATTAGCTTTAGCAGTTGTTGCAATAGCAGTAGCTACATTAGCACTAGTAGTAGCTGAATTAGCATTAGCAGCAGTAACACTAGAAATAGCTAAATTAGCATTAGTGGCAGAAGCTAGAAGTAACTAAATTTGCATTAACAGATTAACACTAGCAGTAGCTAAATCAGCAATTGAAGTAGCTAAATCAGCATTAGCATTAGCTACATTAGCACTAGCAGTAGCTGAATTAGCATTAGCAGCAGTAACACTAGAAATAGCTAAATTAGCATTAGCGGCAGTAGCTAGAAGTAACTAAATTAGCAATAACAGATTAACACTAGCAGTAGCTAAATCAGCATTAGCAGTAGCTAAATCAGCATTAGCAGTAGCTAAATCAGCATTAGCAGTAGCTAAATCAGCATTTGCAGTAGCTAAATCAGCATTTGCAGTAGCTAAATCAGCAATTGTAGTAGAGTAGCAGTAACTAAATCAGCATTTGCAGTAGCTAAATTAGCATTAGCAGTAGCTAAATCAGCATTAGTAGTAGCTAAATCAGCAGTTGTAGTAGAGTAGCAGAAACTAAATCAGCTTTAGCAGTAGCTAAATTAGCATTAGCAGTCGCTAAATCAGCATTAGCAGTAGCTAAATTTGCTTTAGCAGTAGCTAAATTAGCGTTAGCAGTAAATAAATTAGCATTATCAGTAGCTGAATTAGCATTAGCAGCATTAGTAGAACTGGTTGTTGTTGTAAACATTTACATCTTTATTGTTTTTACTCAGTGAGCTGCTCTCATCTGCATTTATCTAAAAACTCTGAATCTGAGCGTAATTTTCTCTCCTAGGAGCCGAAGTGTTTTCATTCTGCAGCTCAGCAGCAGCTCAGCCTTCAGAGGGGCGGGGCTCTCACCGATGAAGGTGAAGAGTTTCCGTACGGTGGTGGTGCTGAACACCTTCCTCTCCATCAGGTAGTCGGCAGCGACGCCCGACAGCAGCGCCATCAGCAGGTTCCCGAGGTACGGCAGCGCCGACAGGAAGCCGTTCTGACGCACAGACGATAAGGTTACAGGACGGCCTGAAGCAGCTGGATTAACAACAGATAATCTGACGAYTAATCTGAGAAACTCACCGACTGCAGGTCGAAGTGCAGCACGTGGTTCATGTATGTGGGCAGGGAGGTGAGCAGGGTGTAGAAGGTCCAGTTGGAGCACATCTGGGTGATGATGATGGCCCACAGAGGCCCCGACAGAACCATGGAGAGCAGCGGTACTGACCAGCCGTGACCCGTTCCCTGGAGCACAAGAACCAAAGCTCAGAACACCTCCCATCACACAGGGAAACACTGACGTTAAAAACAGGAAGTTCTTAGAAAATAAAAGCTGAGTTTTAAAAAAATAAAAGCTGCAGAGCAAGAGAAGTGAAACGATGAAGTGAGGAGGAAAGAAACTTATGGGATAAATGTTGAGCCAACAGGAAGTGAATCTGAATGTTCAGAATTTGAAACTGAAAGCATTGATTTGAAAATAAATTTCACTAAATTGAAACTGAATTTAAAGTGTTGTATCTGAATTAATTTTCTTTGAAACTGTATTTTGGTTTATTAAAAATTCAGTTTGACTACTTTCACTTTCAGTTCCATAATTCAGATMTTTGTGTCACATCCTGYTCCTTGAGAAAGCCAGGCAGAGTAATCAAACACAGATCCACAGATTTATGTTTCACTTTGGTGAAGTTTCCCTTCTGGATGTAACAAAAAGTTAATGTAACATTTTCTACATATAGGTCAAATTAATCACTGCAATAAAATAACTTTGTGTGTTTTTGTCACTTTTACAGTGGATTGCATCAACTCTGTTACATCCAGAAGGGAAACTTCACCAAAGTGAAACATAAATCTGTGGATCTGTGTTTGATTACTCTGCCTGGCTTTCTCAAGGACCAGGATGTGACACAAACATCTGAATTATGGAACTGAAAGTGAAAGTAGTCAAACTGAATTTTTAATAAACCAAAATACAGTTTCAAAGCAAATTAATTCAGATACAAAACTTTAAATTCAGTTTCAATTTAGAGAAATTTATTTTCAAACCAATGAATTCAGATTCTGTTCCTGCTGACAAGATTTATCCCACAGAAACTCACCTGAGGCCCGATGGAGTTGATGATGTAATCTCTCTCCTCTTTGCTGATTCGTCGATGAGTGCGTGGATCGTCCGACACGAAGCTGAACCAGAAGACGGCCCAGAGGCAGCCGGCGCCCCCTGCAGGAGGGAGGGAGGGGTCAGACGGAGCAGGACAGGAAGTCAGAACAGTGTCTGCGTCACGCACCGCACAGGTAGAACACAGCGGGCCAGCCCAGCTTCTCACTGATGAGGCCCGTCAGCGGCAGGGCCACGAAGGCCCCGAAGCTGCCTCCGGACCCCGACAGGGTCATGAGGCGGGACCGCTCCAGGGGGGGCGCCCAGCGAGCCCACATGGCCATCATGGCCGGGTACGTCACGCCCTGGAAATAAAAAAATGTCGGTGACATTTTCTTTAAAAGGTGAGTTTAAATCAGAGAGAGAGAACCGGACCTCCCCGAACCCCTCCAGGGCCCTCAGAGCAAACAGCCAGCTGGACCCCCACCCCGCCGCCAGGGGGGTGAGGAGGGTGAGGACCGCCGTGCCCAGCACACCCACACCCAGGAACCTGCTGCCCCCGTAGTGACCGGCCAGGTACCCCCCAGGGATCTGCGTGCACAGGTAGCCGAAGAAGAACGCCCCCAAGAGCCAGCCCTGGGTCTCCGAGTCCCACAGGTACTGGGGGGTCTGCAGAGAGGGAAGGGGAGGGGTCAGGAGGCGGAGAGCCCAAACTACACCTTCAGAGTGTCTGATGTTTACCCCCTCCGGCTGCTGCGGGGCCTCGCTGCTGTTCCCCGAGTCGGGCGGCAGCGGGCAGGCGGGGGCCGCCGACGTGTTCCCGTCCACCGACAGCTCCGTGGTGTTCACCATGGCCACCATGGCCACGCTCAGGTTGACCCGCAGCCCGTAGACCACCGTGAAGCCCAGGAACATGAGGACGGCCAGGTTGAGGCGCGTCGAGCAGCACTGAGGGGGGGCTGGGGGGCAGGAAGTTAGATCAAACCATGAATCAGATTATTAATTTTAACAAATAAACCTGTTAAAATTAACGTGATTGTTTCACCTGTTAACGAGCTCGTTAACAGGTGAAACAATCACGTTAATTTGACCAGGTTTATTTGGTTAAATGAACATGTGATTGTTTCACCACAGGTGAAACAATCACATGTTCATTTAACCAAATAAACCTGGTAAAATGAACAACATGTGATTGGTTCACCTGTTAATCACATGTCGTTCATTGTTAACGAGCCAGAGGCCTCGTTCTAATCAATCCAGCTGAAACGCACCTCGCTCGCTCCCGATCAGAGCCTTGGCGTCCTCGTCCCGCTCGCAGGACTCGGCGTTGATGGAGCATCCGTTCGGCAGCGGCATGGCGTCGTCTGAGCCGCACGTGAACCCTGCTCGATGTCAGCGAGTCATGATGTTCAGGAAATCTGCCGAGTCGTGAAAACAGACAAACGATGAAGAAAGTCACGAGATGAACTCGTGTCAGCAGAATTCTTCTGAAAAACTCGGCAGGTTTTCACACGAACCGGTGATCAGGACCGACACTTCCTGTTTCATAAAGCTGCATTTACAGAAGTGACTTTTAGTCGYAGTTCTGATGAACCTGAGGCTCTGTTAAACTTCATCATCATCTTCATCTGTRAATCATTTCTAACTGAATCTGACAACTAGAATTTAACAACAAAAGGTTTTTTATCAACATTGACCTTTTTCTACTAACATTTACTGCTCACCTGCTCTACTTTGCTTTATTACAGCTTTTAATTGCACCTCTGTTCCTTTTAGCTGAACTTTTGCTACGTTTACCTGGAAATTTGCTACTCTTAGCAAGACATTTGCTCCTTTTAGCTAGACGTTACGTCTAACTAAATTTTTTTGCAATATTAGCCAGCCTTTTGCTACTTTCAGCTGTATGTTTGCTACTTTTAGCTAGACTTTAACTATTATAGTTAGCATTTTGCTACTTTTAACTATCCTTTGGCTACTTTTAGCTGTACGTTTGCTATTTTTAGCTAAACATTTGCTATTTTAGTTAGCATTTTGCTACTTTTAACCAGTCTTTTGCTACTTTTTGCTATATGTTTGCTACTTTAGCTGTACGTTTGGTACTTTTAGCTAGACATTTGCTATTTTAGTTAGCATTTTGCTACTTTTAACCAGTCTTTTGCTACTTTTAGCTATATGTTTGCTACTTTTAGCTGTATGTTTGGTACTTTTAGCTAGACTTTTACTATTATAGTTAGCATTTTGGTACTTTTAACCATCCTTTGGCTACTTTTAGCTGTAAGTTTGCTATTTTTAGCTAAACATTTGCTATTTTAGTTAGCATTTTGCTATTTTTAACCAGTCTTTTGCTACTTTTAGCTATATGTTTGCTGCTTTTAGCTGTATGTTTGGTACTTTTAGCTAGACATTTGCTATTTTAGTTAGCATTTTGCTACTTTTAGATAGACTTTGTTACTTCTAGCTGTTATTTTTTTCACTCAAAAAAGTAAAAAAAAAATTCACTGAAAAAAGTAAAATATTATTTTTAAAAAAATCCAACGATTTGCCTTAAACAACAGTTTAAGCTGTTTCATGATGAGCAGCACTGAGGAGAAGAAAAGTTKCAGCTTGTTGAAATAATTATTTAATTGAACAAATGAAATGAACCTGTTGGTTCCTGGTTTCTCAGGTGAACAGGAAGTGTTGTGTTTACCAGAAGAACTGAGCTCACCACAAGCTGACTCCCTAAAACTGACCTGGATCTGGACCCTGGACAGGTCTGAGACCCTCAGATCTGTGCTGCTTTTCACAGGAAATCGTTAGTTTTTATGTTTTCTTTCCAAGCAGCCAAACTTTCCTCTGATCWGCGGCTCTGATGAACTTTTAGAGGCTTTTCTTCGGCTGCTTTTCACTCAGTTTCTGTTCTCTTTGTAATTTTCAGAGGAAAGTTTGGACTTTGACCTTTCAGAAATAAAAAAATCAACTAAACTATGAGCTAGAACTGTGTCAGAACTTTACAGTTTTTGCTCCCATCAGTTTGTCATAAAAACACAAGTTGTTCCCATTTCTTTATGAATCAATAACAAATCCAGATTAAAAACAGAATAAAGGAGAAAACATTTTAGACCTGCAGCAGTTTTATTTCCTGTTCCTCAAAGTTTTAGATCCTGTTTATCTGATGAAGAAAGTGTTTTTAGACACATCCTCAAATTCACTGAATACACACAGAACTGTATTTATGACTGAAAACATTTGATTTGTTGACATTTTTGTTTTAAACTGAAGCAAAGTAACAGATTGTCCAATTTATCAGTCCGACTTTTCACAGAAAAGATCCTCTCAAACTGTAAAAGACCAATAAATCTTCAATATTTTAACACCAAAATGAACCAAAAGGAGGAAAGTTCTCTTTTGTAAACAAATTTATCTTTTGTAAACAACAAGTGGTAAATGAGTAAAGGAATAATCAGCAATGATAAAGACTTTTAGGAAAATAAAACAGCAAGAACTAATCAATATTTTAAATTATGAAACAAGACCCACACAACTGTAATCATTTTAAAATGTATTTGACCAAAATGACAATAAACATCCTAATATCTGACATGATGAGTTGATTCAGTTTATAGAGGGGAAAACATAAAAACAGCGACTACATTTCCCAGTTAAACAACATTTTACTGCAGTGTTTCTTATAAATTCTTACCTTTTTAATGTTTAAAGGCAAAATCGCTCAGAACATTTCGCTAAACGTTGTTTTCACCGGCAGAACAAGAGCAGCTAGTTGTTGTTTTACAGAACCGTGTAAAAAGAAAGAAAAGTCACAAGAGCCGAGGTGAAAACTTCAAACCACATGGACGAGTTAAAACCTCCCTGACTATCGTTCGCTGAGTTTAGCGCACATGATTTATAAATCAGCGCTACTGTTGTGACGTCAAAGCGCGTGATTGGCTGGCTGCATCTTTTCCACTG